AGATGCACTGCCTGGCCGGCAAGCAGGAGAGCGGCCGGCAGCCCTGCCTCGGCGGCCAGATCGGCCAGGTAGGCTGCCCCTGGCGCCCCTTCCCCGGGCCGGCCATCTCTGTCTCCCCGCGCGCGCTTTCCTCGGCCGGCGTCTGCCCGATCCAGAGGCGGCGCATCAGCTCCGGGGCCCAGCAAAGCGGTTGCCTCTGCCGGCTGGCTCTGCGGATACAGGGCCGGCTGGCCGGAGAAGAGTAGCGTTAACGGGCTTTTTGGAGTTGCGCATCGGAAAAGACAGCCGGTTCGGTCTAGCGGGGAAGGCTCGGGCCAGAAAGCAGGAGGCGGAGACCTGGGCCAGTCCCTCGGTCTCAGCCCAGCCCACCTCATGGGGTGGCGGTTGTGGGGAAAAGGAGGAGGGGGGGGAGGGAGGGGGGGTAAGGATGTTCGCCGCCTTGAGTTATTTATAAAAATAAGAAAGGCGGGATAAAGAAAATCTAAAAAAAGCCCTGTGGAAGGATGTGTCTCTTTATCCTTCTTTGCTATTTTGGTTTCAGTCCCGCAACTGCAAGTTTGGGTGGGTCCTGTCAAAGGCATCCTTTCGATATTCTTACTACTGTGGCTGTTTGGTGGATCAAGGGAGCCGCAAATGTGTTACAAACAACAGACAATGACTTGTGGGGCTGAGATTTGTCACAGGGGTGCAGGATGCTGTTAGGATTCCAGGTTGGTCATGCAACGTTGGCCCTCTTCAGCAGAGCTGGCGTGGTAGAGAAGAGTCAGGTGGATTGATGAGCAAAATGCATTTAAGAAATCCAAAAGGCCAGAGAGGAGAGGGTGTGGTGTTTTCAGGGTCTTTAAAATCACCCCACGTTTCTCCTCCCTGATCAGGAAAAAGTGGGTCAGTTAAGGAGGGAAGGGGAAACGGCACCCTTCCTTCAGTAGCTGTCCTGCCTGGAAGCAAACTAGCAGCGAAGCCTGAGGACCATCTTGCTTGCAGCAGATCCCTATCTGTGCCCTTCCTCGGAAATGTCTTTGCCCAGCCTGCCTGATAGGGCTGTTGGTGGGGGGAAGGAAAGCAGGTCTGGTGCTGCATCTGGAGAGCAATATATCCCCCGTCCCATCCCGTCCCGTCCCGTCCCGCAGCTGTGATTGTGCCAGATCTTGCCAGCTTCGGACCGCCTTCTCTTTTGCAGTGTTGGTGGTCCCTGGTGACTCAGACAGAGGCACTGAGCCAAGCTCTACAACGCCATGCTGAAGCCCTGGTTGCCGGCCCCCTGAATACACTGGCCCTGCTAATCCAAGACAAGCAGCAGCTGCACCGGTGCTACAGCGAGCAGTGGCAACAAATGAACCAGGATTTCATCCGGGTACAGCTACCTGGCACAAATGGCCATCCTCAAAGGGAGAGCTTTGCCTCCACCAGATTCCAGAGAACGGGCCAGGAGGAGGGTGACGCTGTCTATCCCTGGCCCCTTCCAAGGATGCTTGTGCTAAGAGCTGCCATGAGCAATTGTTGTTCCAACCCTTTTAACGTTTCCTTCTTGGCTTTTCCAGACCACGCAGCAAGAGCCTGAGCGTTTGAAGGCCCAGTACCGTAACCACATCCGTGAGTGTGCTCAGGCCAAGCGCAGATACCAGGAGGCCAGCAGAGGTGCGTGCACTGCAAGTGGACAGTGGCTTTGTCACTCCAAGGGAGGATTGGACTAAAGGCCTTTCTCATCCCACGCCCTGCTTCCCAGCAACAGCCAACCAGAGGTCTCAAAAGGAGCCATCCAAAAGGAGTCCTAGTCCTGCAACTGAGGCCTGCTGGGATGGAGATCATGACAAGTCTTGGTGGTGCTTGTCAATGACCTCTGTCAGGACCAGATTGGGTGGTGCAACTTTGCTGGTCCTGCTTGATCTCTCAGTGGCAGGGGATGCCACCAGTCATGGTGTCCTCCTGGAGTGGGGAGTGGAGGGCAGCATTGTTTTGCAGTGCTTCTCCTTCCTCTGGGGCCCACTCCTGTCGGTAGACGAGAGAGATCTAGCCTGAAGCCCTTGTTCAGTAGGGTTCTGCAGGACTCAACATTCTCTCCATTACATGGAGGGTTAGGGTTAGGGTTAGGGTTAGGGAATTGTATGAGACCCCCTCAGCATGGGGTCAGGTTACATCTCAACCCCAGCCAAACAAGTGATGCTGTGAAATCCTGTCCTGTGCCTGGAGACACAGGCTTAGCCTCAACCTTGGTAAGATCAAGTGGCTTTGGTTTCAAGGGCCTTCTGGTCACAGTGATTTAACGTCTTTAATTCTCAATGGTGTGGCACTTACCCAGTTAGAATTGAAATGCTATTTGGATGTCTTCTTTAATTCTCAGCTCCTGCTCATTGAGCAGATCGCAGCTGTGGCCAGGAGGGCCTTTGCACAGATCCATCTTATGCACCAATTGTGTTCTTTCCTGGGTCGGGAGGCCCTTCTCACTGTCACTCTGGCCCAAGTCAACTCAGTTCGGATTACTGCAATGTACACTAAATGGAGCTACCCTTGAAGACCACTCAGAAGCTACAGCTGGTCCAGAACGTGGCTGCACAAGGGCCTCCCCCCCCCCCATTTGCCCATGTAACATTGCTGCTCTGCAAGTTACACTTACTCCTGGCGGCCTTCTGGGTGCATTTAACCAACCATCCACCATTCAGTGTGTTGGTGGGCACCTATAAAGTCCTTCCCAGCCTAGGACCCAATTGCAGACAGGATTATTTTTATCCTGTTATTTCTGCCTGATCAGCAGGATCTGGATAAATTGGTGCGTTCGAGTTAAGAGTAAAGAGTTGTCATCTTTATTTATTTATTTGATGTATATTAATTGCTCTACTTGGGACATGAATCAGGATGGCATACTTCTTCAATAAGTCATAATCAATGAAGGCCACATTTAAAAAAAACATACACAATCCAAAACAGCAACATACAAACATAAGTGCTGAGAAAAAAACTCATCCAGTGGATCAGGACCCTCTTCCAGACCTAATGCCTGTGAAAAGAACAGGTATTCTGAAAGGGAGGGGGGGTGGGGCCATCCGGATCTCGGAGGAGGCTGTTCCAGAAGCAGCAGTGAAGGCACGCTTCCTGGGCCCCTCCAGCTGACATTAGTTGAGTGACAGGATGCGATGCAGACCAAGCATGTCTTGCAGGACCAAAGCAACGTCCCTTCTCTGTAGCTGAGCCAACCCTGAGAATGATCCCTGAGCCAACCCCCCCAGTTCCCTGGAGGTTCTATTGGGCTTTTGTAAATGTGGCTCTTTCAGCAGGCCCTGGGAAGGTGTAATGATCTGCTCCCTGAAGGTGTTGACTGTTGGGAATAAGTCTGCTTTTGTTACCCTTCTCTGATATGTGACATGCATTCTGGTTTTTAGGTCTAGCATTTTATTGCTTTTTATTTGCTGGGTTTTGTTTTTTTTTACTTCAATAAGGCTCTACTGTTTGGAGAAACAGTCATATTTCTGTGGGCTATGCCCACTCTATCATATCCTCCTGATTTGCCCTTTTTTCTAATCTAAATGGGCTTGAATGCTGCAACCTTTTTTTACAGGTGTGTTGCTGTGCCTCTGGTTGTTGGGTGACTTTTTTTGCACCACTCCTAAATCCAGAATTTCCTTTTTGAGATACAATCAGAACTTTGGTGGTATTCATGGAATAGTTGCATCATTGCTTTGTACAGAGACATTACATTAGAAGTTTCATTTTTACTCCATTTGTCAGGGCTTTCTGTCCTAAATTTGCTGTTTTTATAGCAGCCACATTCCACCTTTTCAGTGAAAGGAGAATCCCCAGCATCCGTAATTGTTGCTAGCTCAGTCCCATTTGCGTATCAGTGAAGTCAGGGCTATTTTGTTCCTTCGCTGAGCTTGCTCCCTCGGACCCCATTTCCTCAGGCTTCTGAGCAGCTCTCTGCCATCTGCCGAGGTCTTGTCCTGAATCCTGAGACTCCTTGGCAGAGGGACAGAACTGCCAGATGTCAGGCAACCTCACTGATTTGTGTTGAGATGCTGCCCTGCACTGTTGCTCCAATCCTATTCTCCCCTTACACGGCTCTACCCTCAGAAAAGGAACGAGAGAAGGCCAAAGACAAGTATGTCCGGAGCCTCTGGAAGCTCTACTCGCTGCACAACCACTACGTCCTGGCCCTGAAAGCGGCCGAGGTCCAGCACACCCTCCACTATCAGCAGATCCTGCCTGGCGTCCTCCAGTCCCTGCACGGCCTTCTGCAAGAGATGGCTCAGATCACGTAAGAGCCGATGCGCCACAGGGCAGCCGCGGCTGATACCCCGTGGACTTCAGCCGGGTGGCCTTGTCTCTTAAGAAGGGAAGGGGAAGCAAAAATAGGTTGTGGGGATAAGAGGGGTAGAATTAGCCGTGATTCTTTTTCTGACCTTGTGCCCCAATTTCTTCGGCTTAGTATTTCATACTCATTGTCCGCACTCTGCATGACCCTGCTGACTGCAGAGGGAACAGCGTGATGCGTGTGTGTGTGCGGATGCTGTTCCTCCTCTGTCCAGCCTCCTGTGTTTGCACCAACAGAAAGGCAACCCTGCAAGAATACGCCAGCATCACGAGCCTGGTGCAGGAGGAGATGGTGGCTGTGCACCAAGCAATGGGCAGGGCCATTGAGCGCATCCAGCCTGCCACCGACTATGAAGAGTTCCTCCCGCCGTGCAGGTACTCCCTGCTGCTGGTTTGTTTTCTGGCCGGTGGGGAGAAAGGGCAAGAGAAAGGGACCTGGGGCATTTCTTTCTGATGCCGGGATGTCCCTCTCTCCAGGTGCGAGCAAGAGATGCCAGCCATGGTGACCTTTGATAAGAGTCTGCTAGAGGAGACCGAGACCGAAGGCCTGCAAGAGGGACAGCTCCAGCTGAATGAACTCACCCTGGAAAGCCTGCAACATACGTGCGTGTGGGAAGGCAGTGCCCTCTGGATTTCCTCCTGGAGAGAGGGCCACTGGGTGGGGCAGTGATCCACTCCATGTTCACGGTGCATTTCTGAGGCCTGGTGCTGTGGATGGAAGGAGAGAGGATGGCCTTGTCCCAACTCTGTCCTCGTGGTCCTTGTGCCATGCCCTGGGGGTGAACTTGCCACCCTGGAAGCTGAGCCTGAACTTAGAAAGCTCAGCATGTTTGACAGAAGACCACTTTTCTCTGCTTTGCAGACTTACCTCCCTGGAGGAGGAACTGGTCAGTGCCACAGAGAGCACTGATGGCCATCGCCAGCGCGTCCAGATTCTGGAAGCTGAAATCCAGAATGAGGAGATGGCTGGAAGTCCAGGAAAACGGTGAGCCTGCGGCTCTGAAGCAGGAACCTCCATGTATTGTTGAATTGCCACTCTGTCTCCTTCACTATTATCCAAATTAAAGGGTGCAGGCACTATAGGGCCAGTCATGAGGAGGCAAATGAGAGCAGCAAGCTCAATTCAGCAAGAATCATGCGTCCCACCTTGCAGTTATGGAACAGCACCTGGTTTCTTGTCTCCCTTTTCCTGAGGTTGTGAAGTATGCCTTGCAGATTTCTCTGACCAGAGGCCAAAAGATGTGGCGATATTTGCAACTCCCTGCCGCTCATTCCAAAGCCCTCACCTTTTCCCACCCTCCCTCTCCTCTGTCTAGCATTACACAGCATTGGTGACAGTAGATGCTTCTGCCCCCCATCGTGCAGAGGGCATTGAGATGGGGGTTCAGGGTGTGCCTTGAAGTAGCCTTTCTCTCCCCACTCGTTCCCACATTTTCTTCATGCAGCAGCTGATCTGAGAGAAAAGCTCCTCTTTGTGAAGAGAGAACCTTTCATTTTTCTCTTCTTAATTGCTGTAGGCAGGTCCAACCCGAGGAGGCCACGTGTTGGATGCAAAGATGTCTTGTGCCAGAGGTCTTCTCTTTTGAGGGTTGAAGCATTCCCTTGATCTTCTGCCACAGAAATGCCATCCTTGGAAAAATGTCCTTTTCTATGCATGGTGTCCTGGTCTCGGTTGCTCCATTCAATGCACCTCTCTCTTCCACAGCATCCTCCTCCTGGGAAGGCAGAAGTCCCTGCATGAAGCTTACTACCTTCTCCAGCTTGCTCTGGGCACTCAAGAAAAACTGAAGGCCCAAAGGGATTTGCTGCAACGTAAGCTGGATGAGCTAGGGTCCCTTGACCCTCCACCTGCCCCAGATCTGCAGGGTGACAGGCAGTCACTGTCTTCTGGGGTGAGTGTGAAGCCCAGCAATAGAGCAAGAAAGAGGTGGTAGTAAAGTATATCCATGGGGGACCCTGCTACCCCAGGGCAATCTGATTGTTGTGCTGATCAGGGAGAAAGGAGGGCACAGGCGATGTATTTGGTCCAGTCAGCCCTTTTTCTCTGCAAGCCACCAACTTCTCTTGGATAGGCTAGATTCCAAACCTTGGAGGGCTGCTGTGTGGCAGCACTGAGCTTGGCTCTCTCGGCCTGTTTGCCTCCACTCCCCATGCTGAGTCCTCTCTCTCTCTGCCCCTTCTTTTCTGGCAGGAGCAGGAGCCAGAGCGAGATTGGGGTCGAACAGCACCAGCTTTGGAGGCCCTGAAGCATCACATCTCAGGCATTTTTCGTCCACGCATCTCTGTGAGTGGCCATCCTTGCTTGATGCTCCTCAACTGTATCCCTACCCAGCTGGGTTTCCTGACTGGTTAGGCAAGGCCAAAAAAAACCACCTCATGTCCCATATAGCTGCTCTCAATATACATTGGATGAGAAGTTGGGTGAGGAATGTGGCAAAACTGGTATTTATTCAGAAGTAGCATAATTTTTTCTAACTTTGGAGTAAAATCATTAAAAAAAAAAAAATCTTACTGCCATCATCCCAAAACGAGAAGCCTAACATTCTTAAAATAATGTGAGGAATGTGGCAAAACTGGTATTTATTCAGAAGTAGCATAATTTTTTCTAACTTTGGAGTAAAATCATTAAAAAAAAAAAAATCTTACTGCCATCATCCCAAAACGAGAAGCCTAACATTCTTAAAATAATGTAACGTATGAAGGTGCATGGACATGGCACTTTGCAAGGAGAGGTGGTGAGTGAGCAACTAAAAGCAAAAGGAGAGGAACAGGAAATAGAGGAGTTCCTGAAGTGAGATCAGTATGTTTGTAATTAAAAGAAAAAAGAGGATTTAAAAGAGTCTCAGAAAAGTGTGAGGGTAGCGAGATTGATTCTGAATCTTCTGGCTTTTCACAAGGAACTAAAAGTGGTGTAATTTCAACCACTGCAGTCAGGCAAAGCTGATGGATCTACAAACATTTCCTATTATTAGAAAAAAGAGGAAACCAGAAGAAGAAATTCAGTAGAGTGACAGCTAAGTTGAGAAATCTAAAGCAGAACCCAGTGTCTGTGGGGATGGGAATGTAACCCTCAGTGGAAATGGAGAACCATTAAGAGAGGAGGTCACAGTATAATAATTCTACACACTCACCCATCTTGCGATTCCTTTTTGGGGTAAGCAGGGTTATGCAGAGTGCAGAAAAAGAGTGAGCAAAAGTAGGGATCAAAAGAAATTAAAGGCAGGAAATAAACCAACACTGTCCATGGGAAAAGGTTAGGAAATGTTAATCCACTGCACTTTTCCCCTCTTCACTCCATGTATATACTCTTGCTTTAATTTAATTTAATTGATTTAAAAGGATCTTGGCCTCCTAATTTTCTACCATTACATGTCAGTTGGAGACAACGTGTTTCCTTTCCATCAATTCTAAACTTGTCCCAGGCATGAAGGCACATTTGCCAACTTTTGGGGGTTACCAACTCTTGTCATTTAACTTATCAGTTACTGGTAGAAACACACCATAGTGAATGTCTTCCTTCTACATTTTTGTGGTTCAGGTTTTCTAAATATTGGTCTGACCTCCTGAAATAACAGCCCTTGTATGCCCCTTGTTACCACAATCTCTGCACATTTTTCCTCTGAAAGCTCCCCGTCTCCTAGGATGGGTCCCCACAACGCAGCTTTGCTCTGATCCCTGGCCCACAGCTGGGGCCCTGTAACTTCAGAGCTGATGCAGAACTCTGCACTTTGGACCTCCTCCTGACACAAGCCTTGCCCTATGCAGGGTTTCTGGCTGGATCTTTTGGGATCTGCAGGCCCCCCTGTCCCTTCCAGCTACCAATGCAGCCATTTTGGTTGTTGCTGCTGAAGCAACAGGAAACCGGGGGAGGAACAGCAGCTGAGAAAGCCAAGAGGAGGACAATCTATTTCTACAGGGGTCAGCAGAGCGTGGGTGGGTGGGTGGTCTACCTGCTGTTACTCAGGGGCAGGTAGACCAGAACCTACCTCTCCAAAGGAAGGGCCCCCTTCACACCTGGCATTCTTGGCCAGCCTAGTCCACATTAGCTTTTCCACCCACTGCTGGGCTTGCCAACCATGTCCCTGAGGCCAAGCCCAAAACAGATTTTGCCCAGACTGGAGCAAGTATGTTAAAGCAGCTGTCTGGATGTGGCCTTGGAGTTCTTGTTCTGATGTTGCCTTCTCTCTTCTGAGCTTTGATCCTGGTGATGAAGTTCCTTCCCCACACAGGCATGGAGCATTATTGTATTGTCTCTCACACTTGCTTAGATGATTGTGAGCAGTTAACTCTTTAGTTTACAATAATATTCTATGAACAGTGAGTGTACGATATGAGTTATTTCTCTATTAAGAAGTATGTCAACTAACCCCCCCCAGCTGATCAGGTAGTTCTGAGTTAACCATAATTGGGACTGGCAACTACATCACTAAGCGATGTGCTCATAAAGTGAAAAATTATGTGACCATGCTGACTTCCAACGGTAGTTCTGGCAGCACTTGTTAAGCGAATTGTGTGTGCTTGTTAAGCATGGCATCATGTGACTGCAACTTGCAACTTCCTGCTGGCTTCCCCATTAACTTTGCTTGTTGGAAGCTGGCTGTGAAGGTCGCAATGGTGATTACATGACCGTGTGATGCTACGACTGTTGTAACTGCACACTGGTTGCCAAGTGCCCAAATCGTGATCAACGTAACTGCAGGAACACTGCAACAGTGTTGACTGTTTGAGGAGTGGTTGCAAGCCGCCTCATTCAGTGCTGTCAGAACTTCAAACAGTCTCTGAATGAGTGGTCACTAAGTTAGAACTACCTGTACTAAATGATTGTTCAGCTTGTCCCATTTCTCTTGTATCTCCTTTGCCTGTTCTCTTTCTTACTCTCTCCAAAGGCCAACTGCTGCTTTCTTCTTTCCCCCTTTCCTTCTCCAAGTTCTTCTTGCTTTCTTGCTTAAAGGGATGGGAACTATCCACACTCTCCTGGCACAAGGAATGATTCTTCCTATGCAGGGAGATGGGTCAAGAAACTTCTGAAAGAAGGTATTGTGTTGAATTTCTCTCTCTTCCACAGCTGCCACCCCCTCTGCCTCTGCTCCCTGAGGTGCAGAAGCCCCTTGGGCAGCAGACCTGGTACCATGGTGCCATTCCCCGCATGGAGGTGCAGAAGCTGCTGCAGACCAATGGTGACTTCTTGGTGCGTGAGAGCCAAGGCAAGCAGGAGTATGTCCTCTCGGTGCTGTGGGATGGGCAGCCCCGGCACTTCATCCTGCAGGCTGCTGATGTGAGTGCCTGGGGGAACAGCAGGGTTGGTGCTGTTAGTGATGGGAGGCAGCAGGCTCAGCACACCCTGTGCGAACAACCCACCAAGCCAAGTTCCATTCACCTTTGCTCATTGTGATGGGTAGGAACAAGCCTTCTACTCCAGTATTGACTATCCTCTTTGGTCATTTGTAAAAAGAGATCTAGGGGCCTTGACTGAGCAGAACAGAACCCGAGAGAATCCAAAATCTCACACATTATGAGATTGTCAATGCATATACCAAAGCTGGGTTTCTGTGCCGCCCTTTGGTTTCAGAGCATCCATACAGAGCTAGGTAGGTTGTGAATCTGAAAACTGATGGAACTGGAGTGGATGGCAAGGAGTAGATAGTGTTGGGGTTAGTTCTACCAAGGCATTTAAGAGTTCTGGACACAAAAATATGAGCCACATGCTTGAACTCGCTGGCATATTCTGGAAGAAAGTTATTTCTGTGAAAAGGACTGCGTCCCCAGTTCTCTACACTGTGAATTTCAGCTGGATATAATCTTGGGCCAGCTGTGAGTTCTGGTCTCCTTGTGTAGAGTTCATGTATTGACAGAACTCACAATTCTCGGCCTTCTTCATGAATGAAGTTAGTGGGAGGGAAATTCTTTGCACGAGGTCTGGTGTGGAATAAAGTTCTGCCACCAGGTGGCTTGGAAGGCTGTAGGTTGGTATGAGGATTCATAACTCCAGACAGCTTTAGCCATTGCCCTTGAGCACAGCGGGCCTGTTGGGTGACCTCTCTGCCATAGTACCGACATGCCTCCTGTTTGCTGCCTCAGCAAGATCTATATCCCCGCACTTTGTGCTTCTTGGGGTAAGGTTCCTGCTTGATACAGTTCTCTGGAGTGCTGAATGCGTCTAGCTGGAGTTTCCTGAGCAGCAGCAGGTTGCACTGACTGAGCCTCTGCACTTGATCCCTGCCAGCTTTCAGCCTTGAGGCAGAAACAGAGCAGTATCTTAGTGTCAGATGTTACCAGTGATGGGGAAGGTGTGGAACCTGGAAAATCTCTGCTCTCCAGGTCATTGGAAATACTCTAATAATGCTGCTTTGTCCTCAAATGCATCACTAAATTGGTCCAATGTGTACCTCCTCTACATTGGCACACTGTTTAGGAAAATGTAGAAGAGACAGCAGCTGCATAAAGGGGGCAAGTGACTTCCCCCACGAACTAGTCATCCAGAGTAATGGCGGTGGTGCTGTTTCCCCCAGAATCTGTACCGCTTGGAGGGCGAGGCTTTCCCTACCATTCCGCTGCTGGTGGACCATTTCCTGAAGTCCAGGCAGCCCCTCACGAAGAAAAGTGGCATTGTGCTGGTCAAGCCCATCCCCAAGGTATGGCTTCCAACTGAACCTGGTGGTGGGGGTGGTGCTGCTGCTGTGCTGGGGAGGGCCCTAGTGGAAATGACGGGCTGCTCTTCCTGCAGGACAAGTGGGTGTTGGACCATGAGGATATCCTGCTTGGGGAGCGCATCGGGCAGGTGAGTGATCTCTTAGCACAGCAACCCTGCTGGATGGAGGGAACACCCTGGCTGATCTGTTGTGCCGTCACCTATACTTGGAGCTTTCCTGTTTTAAGCAACAGGTTATTTCAGAAACTTCAGTTGCCCCCCCCCCCCAAAACGGAGCTGCTTACTTCTGGATGTGCTCCTTGTCCAGCCTTTCACCAAAAGGGCCTGTCCAGCATGCCCCTGCTCTGGAGCAGCAGTCTGTTGGCTGGCTTTTGGATTCCTGGGGGCTCTGTGTCACTACTTCTTCACTGATCTTGCTGCACAAAATCCCCAGTTCTCCCTACAGTCTTGTTTGCCCTTTACATTCTTTTCCTTTCAGTTCCTGGTTCCAAGCCTTTAGGGAAGGGCCTGCCTCTGGAATTGGAACCCTTCATTTCTGTGGAAATTTTCTGGCCTTACAAAGGAGTTGAAAGAGCTTTTTAGTGCATTAGTGGAAGGTCTTATTTAGCTGATGGTTCTGGGTGAACGCCTGGTTTAAATAATTATGAATACAGTTGTATTCCAGGGCATTGTTTAAAATGTATTGCTGTGTTGGTTTAAAGTTTACGTTTGTTTACTGAGACTTGAGCTCGTTTCATTGCACTGATTTCTAATTATTGTTTTATATTCTGCAGCAATCTCATGTTTTGGTCTTTTTTGTAGGTGACTTGGTAAAGGCACTTAACAATTGTTGTTATTCAGAAGTTTAGGAACTTGCTTGTTCTGCCTGAATGCAAAAAATTTCAGTCCTGCCTTTCTAGACCAGTCTTGTGCTATCCTTGGGCTGGAGAAAGTGGGTGGAAGGGGGTGAAACAGGGGTTGCCTCAGTGTCTTGGTCTTTGTTCCACAGGGCAATTTTGGAGAAGTCTTCAGTGGATTCTTGCGCTGCAGTAACACTCCAGTTGCAGTGAAATCCTGCCGTGAAACACTTCCAAATGAGCTCAAGGCCAGGTTTCTGCAGGAGGCTGGGTATGTATAGAATGGACTCCTGGTTAGCTGAGGCCTTCAGCCAACCCCAGAGTTGGGCACCCCAATGCACACATCAAAGTATTTCTTAGCCAAAGCCCATTTTCAGGATCTCCCTTTCAATAGAAGTTGATAGAATTTATAGTCCCCTTCTTTTAAGCTGCTCCCTGTCACTGGCCCCCCAGGTACTGGCTCTTTCCCAGCCTGTAGGCAAACTAGTGGGGACAGCTTCTCGAAGGCAGGCTTCAGAGGCTTCAGCCTGCTCTGGCAAATCGTTTAACTGCAAGACTGCACCAGGTCCCTAGCTGTGCATTCCTGGATCAGCAGGGAGCTTGGACTCTACGATTCCTTGGCAATGGTGCCATTGCCTTCTCATAGTATATTTGTGTTTGACACTGGTGGCTCCTGTTTTCTGAGTTTATCTGAGAGGAGCCGGGAAGCATAGAGATGCCCCTGGGTCCAAGGGAGCTGGCTGTGAAGCCTTTAGTAACTGTTTACAACCCAGAAGTATTGTTTTCACAAGAGTCTTCCTTAACTGGAGCTATTGAAGGGGAAAGGGATTTGGCAATAGAAATCTTGGCAACTAGATACATTTACCGTAGCATCCAATTGATCCCAATCCTCTTGCTAACCACCCATCGATAGATACATGAAGGAGAAGGGTGCTAACAATTTTTCTGATGAAGAATGTGCAGATGTTCTGCCCCTGTAATATTTTGCAAACTGCTACCCACTTTCCCAGGCTCTGAGAAGCCCATTATGACTTGTCCTCTTCCAATTCTGTCTACTTTTCCCCTTACAGGATCCTGAAGCAATACAGTCACCCCAATATTGTCCGGCTCATTGGAGTCTGTACCCAGAAGCAGCCAATTTACATTGTCATGGAACTAGTAAAGGGTAAGTCCTGCCTTTTGCTCCAACTGCTTTCTTCAAGCTTAGACCCCTTATTCCCCCCTCCCCCAACATTTACAGGAAGTAATGAGGGAAAACAAATTGGCTATGATGGTTGCTTAAGAATTTCCTCCCGCCCTTGTGCTAATCTGATATATGGTAGCAACTGTTCCACGAATGCCCAGATGCTCCTCCTCTTTTCTCTGCTGCTCACCTGGGAACCCATCTGCACCTTCTGTGAACTCTCCTGGGGAAAGGCTGAATTGGGCCCCTCAGTCCCATCCTGTCCTGCTGCTCAGGTCCCCTGGTTCCTAGCACTAGCAGATTTGACTCCTTGAGATGCTCCTGTCGAGGTGGCTCCAGCCCTCTGCCTTCTCCCTCCACAGGGGGTGACTTCCTGACCTTCCTGCGTAATGAGAGGGCTCAGCTCAGAGCCAAGGAGCTTCTGAAGATGGTGGAGAACGCTGCGGCAGGGATGGAGTATTTGGCCAGCAAGCGCTGCATCCACCGGTCAGTCTGCCCAGCCCAACCTGCAGCTAGGTCAGGAGGAACTCGTGGTGGGTTTAGTTTAGGCTTTCCTGATGCCTCAGCCTGTCTGTTACGGCCATTTTCAATTTGTCCCGCCACCAAGGCTGCTCATTGTTGCAGTCAGAGGTGGGCATTATGCTGGTGACTGGAGACTTGATTGAGTTGGTCACCTTGTGCCCTGGTGAAAAAGCCAAGATGCCATCTCCTGTTTGTGAAAAGGGTGGAGAAATAGTGAGATAGCAGTGTGTAGCCATTTGCAGAGGCTGCTGGAAAAGGACCTGACCACCAGGTGGGGTTTGGCATGGCTGAGTCTACCTCTGAGCAACTGTGTGATTGGCCTCTGTGATTCTGCTGCTTTCTAGAGATCTGGCAGCACGAAACTGTCTGGTGACAGAAAATAAAACTCTGAAGATCAGCGACTTTGGGATGTCACGGGAACAAGTGGATGGCATTTACTCCTCCACCAGTGGAATGAAACAGATCCCTGTGAAGTGGACAGCTCCAGAGGCGCTCACTTACGGTACACAGACCCGTGGCTCTGGCCCTGCATATGCCATACTCCAGGTCTGCTCTGGGGCCTTGGTTGGGTTGTTTTCAGCCATGGATAATGATCTTCTTGCGACCACTGTCCCTGCCAGAAAGCTTCTAGATTATGGGCAGCTTCCATGGGATCGCATCTCATGCCCACTACCCTTTCCTCCTTAGGTCGGTATTCCTCAGAAAGTGATGTCTGGAGCTTTGGGATCCTGCTCTGGGAAGCTTTCAGTCTGGGTGCCACACCATATGCCAATATGAGCAACCAGCAGACCCGTGAAGCTGTGGAGAAGGGTGAGTCTCAAAAGGATTTTAGCAGGGGGAGCAAGAGGCACAGGGTGGTAGGGTTCATGTCTGAGGATCTGAGTAGAAACCTAGCAACCATGTGGCAAATGGGTTTGAAGGGAGTTGGGAACTGCTGTAAATTCTGCAGGATTGGCTTAGGTATACCTGGGAATCTGAACTGAGATCTGAACAGGAAGCTAGGGGATTGGAAGTGAAAGTGGTGGGTATCATGGTCAGGCCATCTCTTATGAGGCTTTGATTGACAGACCCTTAAGTTGTTCTGTTTTCAGAATCCAATAGATTCTTTGGCAATACCTACAATGAAGGTTGGTAAAGATGACAGAACTTACTGAGATGGCCAAATTGACTTGTTTGATTAGAGAAAAGACAATATCTGCACTTATTGCTGACTTGGAAACCCCTTATGGACTTTTTGCGTAAAACAGAAAAAAATGAACTTATGATTTATGGTTTTGATGATTAGTTGGGATAGATTATAGAAAGAAGAGAGTCATGATGTAACTTTAGAGAAAGAGGTAAATTTCTAATTGTACTTATAACTGTTTCTAATTGTACTTATAACTGGGACTTTTTGCGTAAAACAGAAAAAAATGAACTTATGATTTATGGTTTTGATGATTAGTTGGGATAGATTATAGAAAGAAGAGAGTCATGATGTAACTTTAGAGAAAGAGGTAAATTTCTAATTGTACTTATAACTGCTGTAAAGAAGATCAGAAGCCACTTCTCTGTATCTTTTTTTCTTTTCTTTTCTTTTCTTTTTTTCTTTCTTTCTTGGACTTTTAGTTCTCTTTGCTTTCTTTCTTTCTCTTTTTTCTTCCTTACTCTATATTATATTAGTTTGTATTAGTTTTGATCTCTGTTTTTTTAAAAAAATTATCCAATAGATTCTGACAAACTGCTGAACCTTCTTCAGGAGTTCCCAATTTGACATGCTTTGTGCTCTGCTTGTCAAAGCCCTGGGCTAACTTTGAAGTAGTGGTCTGCCAATAATTTTTCCCCCAAGGGCTCTCTTCTACACTACAACATATAGTTAACTATTTTATAGTAATGATGGCTGAAACAAAAGTAATTTCACTATTGTATTGTTGAAGGCTTTCACGGCCGGAATACGATGGCTGGTGTGGGTCTTCTGGGCTGTGTGGCCATGTTCTGGAAGTTTTGTTTCCTAACGTTTCACCAGCATCTGTGACTGGCATCTTCAGAGGGCAGGAGCACAGAAAGGAGCAGTTCTCTCTGTGCCCAGGATGATGTGACCCTTTTGTGGTTATTTATAGAGATTCACAAACACCAGCACAGCTTCAATAAAAAAGA